CGGACGGGGTCAAACATCCAAGGTGCCCAATACACCTCCATGCCCCATCGAGCCGGTGACCATTACCACAACCGAAAAGGTGTGGGTGTGGTTCGTACGCCTCCTCTTGGTTGGTTTGGAATCAGGGTTTTTAGCCAACTCCCCTAGGTGAATTGCCACTGATTCACCAACCCGGTTATAACCCCGGATATCAGATATCCAATAGATTCAATCACCTTGAATTCATCAACGCAAAGGAAACATAGCTAGTAAGTTGGTAATTTCTTCCAGGTTGTGGCCCCGTTATTACCGTTCGGTGAAGGAGATTCGTTTGTAAATAGAACAAAATATGCACAGATTTGACTGTTTTAGTTCCAGTTAAAACCTGATTGAATAGATGTGTAATTATTTTGGTCGCAAGACTGACGAAAGGCAAAAGAAAGTGCTCCGACCTGAACAGATCAAGAAGTGCAGAGCATGGAATGAGATGCTCATCACCATTATCATCATTCGATTGGTCAAACGTGTATCCCAAAATATCGATGAATCAACTGTCAGAAATATGAATTGGAAATGGGTTTCCTGTTTAGGTATGTGGCTAACGGGACGTTTTGCTTAAAACCATCATTTTTGCAATAAGTTATTTTTGAACCGGACCGCTATGAAAAGGCTGGACAGCTTTTAGATGAGAGCCTAGTCGAAGTGCACTTTTAATGTCCCTGTTTGTGCGTATCTATGCGTGTGTGTGACGTGAGTCATCGACTTAATGGTAACAGCAAAAATACAACGTTTGTTAACCTATGACATCATATGGTACTGTAGTGCATGTATTGCAAACGCGCTGTTTCAATGTGTTTCTCCTGTTCGTATGGTCCGTCCTGTCACTATCCGACTTGTTTATTCGTCCCCGTATTGTGGGTTCGGTTCGTATGAAATCGATTCGGGAAAATTTTTACTCTTCCATACCCCGTCGTTGTACGGTAACGATGTTGTCTCTGTTGATAGAATCGGTGTGCGTGCATGTGTTTGTCTGTAAAGTTGTTCCATATTATTTTGATGGAACAAAAAGGGATGTTTCTCTGTGCTGTTTTGATCTGCACACGTTCGTATGTGGAGAAAATCACATGTTTTTATGGTTGAAACTTTTATCCCGCTGTCTCCTTGAGCGCATTCTGAATATATACACAGCCCATGGTTATCTCCCACCCGGGAGAGGACAGAATGTGAGACTGTCCTCTGGCAAAACAATCCCGGACAGTGGATCACGTGATTTAGATTACAGACAATATGCCGTGTACACAACACACGCACACACGAAGTGGACAAAAATTATTCGGCTTCGCGACGTCGACTGATATGCATCAAGTAGGATGTGATATGGTTCTGTCGGACGATTGAAATACCAGTTTCCGTAACGAATTCAAACTCACATTAAGGTTGAATAACTGTAAACAAAAACAGTTTTCAGGCGTAAACCATTTCGATCTATGGTACGGTGAAAATGGAACACAAACCATATCCAGTCTAAGCGATCAATGTGTAGAAAACTTAAGACGCTTGTTCTCAAGCTAAGTAAATTAGTGTTTTCCGCGAGCAATCTATCAGAAATCTATCTGAGAAGCGTTTATTTTCCGCTTTTTTAACAGTTCTGCCTTATTTCTTTGAATACAAATCAATTACTTAGGGGTTGAAGGAAATTTAGCAAATGATTTCTAAAAATAAAGAAATAGGGAGCATTGAACCGGGGTGGGTTCGATGTGGTGATTCTCTCTGCTGATTCCCCCAAACAGTTCGATTTAATTATGACAAAACGATCAGTCATTTACGAAACAAAAGATGGAATACCGACGAGCAGTTTGTACAATAATTGCAATTTTCGAGGTTTTCATACTGTGCTAACCACAAAGTGAGTGGATAGGTCCACGTCAAGAGGAGTTGATTCGCACTGCTGTAATACGTCATGCTCGCGCGTTGACCTCACTGCTCACACAAACGTAGATTTCTCAGCTCCAACCGCGAAATAATGATAAGATTATTTCCTGATCGATACGGAAGACAAGCATCCATGTGGAGGAAGCCCCTAGAGACGATAGAAGAAATCATTGAGTCATCCAGACTAAGGCTTTGATCGAGTGGCTGTTTCTGTCAGATTGCACTAACTGGTGGTCTCAAACATCGTCCATCCAGATTCACCTGGTCAGTCGCTTGATTCATACCCTTGGTGCGCCTAGCGGACTCTTGCACACCTGTTGCAGATTTGAACGTTCCATCCTAGCATTTTTAATCACTTACTCAACTTGTTCACGGCGCCAATAGCTGATAAAATTAACGAACAGAAACCATTGTTCAGTACTTATTCGATTTATCGTTTTTTTTTAAATAGAAAAACCTATCAGTTAGAAGTTTGAATCAGGATATGAAGAATCCTGTCTTAGGAGATGGTTCCACTTCCCACATTCTGTTCATCCGTTAGCTTGCAACAATATAAGTTCGAAAACAGTAGTGGGCAACAACAACAACATTAGAGTATCGGCATTCGGTGAACCCACCACCAACCGGTCTGTTGAATTGGTCTGACTAGCCTCGATGATCTGATCGTTGACATACTTGTGGAACAAAACACCATCACCGTTAGTTGTCTGTGTCTCAGTTCAGTTTGCCGAGATGCGTGTATTTGCTACTCGAGGTGATAATACGTTTACTCTTATGTTTATCCACGTCATTTGAAAGATACAGAGGTGCATTTGTTGTGAAGATCCTGTGCTGCTTGCATTGATTGACCAGCACGAATGATGTGTGCTTGGCTGAGAACGAAACATCCGAAAACAACTGGCCTAACGCGTTACATACACCACAATAAAACCATGCAAGATGAAAGACAGCTTTCAGATTTGATGCTTATGCTTTTCTTTAAATGACTAGATTTGTCAACTTAATATAGCTACGATATCCACTGGGCTACCCTTGTGGATACAACGCAATAGTATTATCAATAATAGTGAGAATCAAATATTGATCGAAAACACCTTAGACTTGAATTTTGTGACTCACGTAAATTATTTTCTCATTCATCAAGTAGCAGTTCACGTACGGTATAGCTCACTGGCACTCAGACTCGCAAATCGGGTACTTGAATGTCATCGGCGTTGCACATCATACGAGGGTTTTCTGGTTCCTGGACAAAGTATGTCTATGACCGTCCTATTGCATTGAAACAGACATCTTACCATATGACCTACGTAAGCTGCACCATAGACGTCATCGAGCTAGTAAACTCCCGTTGTTTAGGTTTAATCAATCTTCGCTCCAAACGCATACAGGCTACTGCGGACGTGAAGAAAACAAGTCGCTGCTTGGGGACGGCACATGCTGAATTGACAATCGATCTCAATAATTAGACTAGGCTCTTGGTGTGTGAGTGTGCGTACAACCCTTCGAGCCGGGATTCAGAATGAGTATGCACATACGTTCGCTAACCCATTCTCCTCGGGTGGCACGAGCAAATAGGGCATAACCCAACCAATAGATGGTATAGATGGTATTGTCGGATTTACGACCTTTACGAGTATAATTGATGATAGCTCAATACCATTTCCCCTCTACGACACGTAGTCTTCTCAATACTATCATGGGTGGCCAGAGGACAGCAATCAAAACCACCGCAGGCATGGCAAATGGTTGTACAAACTGGAAACGGAACTAAGTATGAACGATTGACTTAAATGTTTGCAGGGCACGGACTAGTGTTAGTCAAGCGTGTGAATTATCGAGAAGAAACACGTTTCAATTGAGATCGTCCGAAAATAGTTTTTTTGTGTAAACAGTGCTCGGTGTTAGGCAACAGTCTTTGAAAAAAGAACAGAGCAGTGTAAATATTTGGTTACAAGATTCATGCGCGGTCGAAAGTTGACTCCGGAGAGAAATTTCACAGGATTCTGGAAGACCAAATGAAATCCTTAACTTTTAAGCCAAATCAAGAAGAAAGAAAAGAATGAGAAGTAAACAATAAAATAAAAAAATGAAATGAATAGTCAGGTTGTGATTGTTTCCAACCGAGTCCTAACCCCGGAGACTAGTGTTCAGATGAACGAAATCTGTGGGTTGCAACAAGCTCGCAAAGATAGGTTATGCAATATCACTTAAATGGAAAATGAAAATGGTCTGGTCAGCTGCCCGGTGACCGAGTGGGTAGCATGCTTGCGTTATGCCCATCAGGTTTCGGGTTCGATCCCATGTTGGGTCGATGGATTCGTATTGCTGATGAGACCCAACCAAATCGGAACAGCTGTTCAGTGCTTCATAACTTTTCAGTTCACGCTTCATTGGACGCACACGACGAACTTCCCCTTTGCAATCGAATCAAATCCTCCATTAGTCACAAAAAATGAAAGTGTCAACTAATAGAGAACCACAAGTTTTCTAAGTTTCACTGGGTTAGCAGATAGTTTAAAAACTTCGTCATCGACATCAGAAGTGTAAGAGAACCATGAGCGATGAAAGTGAAGTTAATACAATGATAGTTAGCTTTGAAGGTTCTAAGATCAGCAAGACTAGAAGTGATAAGGGATGGTGGGTGATTGAAACAAGTTAACCGAATACGTTGACGGATCAACACGCACACACGGAAAGAAAGAACTTGATACCCGACGCGTTCATGAAACCGATAGGCTGATACTTGGCTTGTAAAAGGACACGCATTAGCTTGATCTCTGAGGCGTTTCACAAGTATACATGACAGTTGATCAACGATATTGTGAGATGATTATTCCAGTACACCGATCAATTAACCGCGAGACGAAAGTTGTAATCTCACTGTCGAAACGGGTTTTTTCTCGAACTGTCATGCTTGTGGAAAAACAAACGAACAATCGAACTGAAAGCCCAAGCGTCCGGGCCAAGAACTGAACATTTTATTATCAGTATAAGTCTGTTCCATGTCAGTGGAGCAATTCAATCTACTATTATATTGACAAAAACTCAATTGGCACAATTTATTTCCTCATTTTTTTAATTATTTTCAGCACAATTGCGGCAACATCGGTCATGAACCGTTGACGGAACAGGAGAAACAACAATTACGTAATCATGTGGTGAAATATTTGGATGGGGAAGTGAACGATTTGCAAGTAAGTGATGCGCAAAATTGGCACACATTAGATCAGGTGCAACGAAGATAAAAATTAATAAATGTTTTGCTTACCAAAATACGGTGCTATTCACCTGTCACGGAGACTTATAGTTTTTTTAAAAATAAAACGCAACTAATTGTTATTTTCACTGGTTACGAATTGGATTTACAATGTTAAGTTCATCATCATCACTATTTTTTTTCGCGTGACAGAAATTCATCTGTTGAAACAGTGTCTGTCGGAATACGGATAGTTTCGCGCATACCTTTTTTGTTTGTATCACTCCGTGTCTGGCTGGCATCGATTAGTTGAAATAACGATCACGTGACCAAAGTCACAGGATCTTGAACAGACAATAAATAGAACGGTCAACTAAAAACAATCAACAGCACTCAGAATATGGAATTAGTCCAGACTGCTAATTTGCGATCAGATCTAACCGACCGATCTAACTAATAAACACTTTTGACTTCGATTCCCATAGTGGGCACACAAACGCAATGTAATGAACCCGATTTATTTTGAATGCAATCAAAACGGTCGAAATTGAACAATAGGATTGCTCATACATGCCCTCCTTTGGTACCTTGTTAACAAATTTGTCCTCGCAATGTCAGTTGAGATGAACATCTCTTTCTCTCGCGGTCACCAATCAGTGATCGGATCGTGATCGGATGTGACAGTGGGATGGACCAAATGAAATCAGACGTCAAACAGGTTAATTCCCTTCTTGCTCCACACTCCAGCCACATACAGATTATTCAGGTGGCTGGGACTAATGTTTCTGGATGTACATATACATAAATTAACTTGCTCGATGTTGCCCAATGGAAAGAATGAATTGTGGATGATAATGATGATAATAGCGTAGCGCTACGAGAGCACGAAAGTCGGTGCGATCGACTGATAACTGCGTTCCACGCGCGTTATCATTTGATACGTGTGTTTGCGTGTAAGAGTCGGAGAAGTACGGAAGTTTTGCATGGCAAAATATATATTTGTTTTACACAAAAGAAATCCTGACACAAGAAGAAGAGCGATAAAACATAAATTGTGGCAACCGTGTTCGGTTTAGTCCATAAAAACATAAATCTTGCATCTTTGCGCTACGGTTCAGGTTACCAGGTTGGATAAAGAAGTAGAAGGATGAATTAGACTGTTGAAATGCTGATATTAAGATGAATACAAGGAATTCATGGAAAGTGAATTTGCAAAGACATTGAACAGATACATAAACCCGTCTGTTTACGAAACACAGCCATATCATCATCAATCACACTGATATCCAGGTTTTCATCCAGGAATCCTATTGTGACCCATAGAACTCATTCACCTATCATATCTTCATGTCAGATTTTAGACGAACCAGCCATGTTTTTTTTCACCCACTACCTGCCTTGACGAGCATTACATGCCGAGCAAACTATATCATTTGACATGAACAACACATGCCCCAAATATCAATGTCATGACAGTGTACACAATAAAACGATCTTCACTCGAATGATTACTATCGAAAAACGATCAAAACTCACCAGAAACATATTAGTGGAATTAGTAGGATATGGTACGGTACTGAATGTATAGCATCAAATTATTAATAGTCTAATGAGAACATCTATCGAGGAATTGGTGTACTCTCTAAAACTGCTTTGTCTTAGGACAACCAATCAGATCAAGGGCAAAGCAATTCAGAAGGTTCGTCAGAACCCACCGTTTGTCAAGACGATTGAAAACGCTGTTGTCTATGCACTACATCCTTCTAGCTGCGTTTTGTTTTACTGCTCTTGGAATCGCTATCTGGACGAGAAAGTTATTGAAGGACGGTTGTTTGTTAGGTCTTACATGGAGATATTTGGTGTGATTATAAAACAGCCCCCAACTTTACCCTAACTGGAAGTAGAGGCAGGGGACAAATTTTTCTATCTGGGCAGCTATATCTACCTGGCCAACGAATCATAGATGAAGTGTCGGCACGCATGAAAAAGGCTCGGTTGGCATTTGCCAACTTGAGACATCTGTGGTGCCGTCACGATATTCAGCTGTCTCTTAAGGATGGAGTGTATGCTGCAGCAGTTCGACCAGTTCTGCTACATGGAGCAGAAACTTGACCAGTAAGAAAACGGGATAAAGATAGACCGTCGGTGTTTGAACACCGCTGTCTACGCAGCATTGCACGAGTCTGGTGGGGTAACCGGATGAGCAATACTGAGGTTGAGCGTGAAGTTTTAGGTAATCGCGATCGTCCACTGGAGCAAGTAGTCGACCTCCATAGATTACGTTGGTTGGGACATGTGCTACGCATGTCTCCAGATAGGTTGCCACGGCGAGCGATGTTCTCCAAGGCAAGTAGTGGGGGGAAAAGATAAAGGGTGGTAAAACAAAGATCTGACATGAGGTTATGAAAACCCTGACCAGGAGTCTGGTCACATT